ATGAATTAAATCAATAATAATATAAATTATGTGTGAGACTATAAGGCAAAAAAATAATTAACATCATATGTGGTAGTAAAAAAAAAAAAAGAAAAGAGCTAGAAGCTTCCCTTTTTAAGATAAAAGTTTTCACATTACTTATTACTCACCAATTTGTTTTAAATCATTTAGAGATATGGTTAATCTAATAAGTAAAGAAATGATTAATTAATTAATTTAAGAGAACTCGTCATCATATACAATAATATTCAATAAAATAATCTTAACAGTATATTAATATAAAATTTATATTAATTAATTATAGTAAAATTGGATGCATTGATATCCGAAGTCTTAATTAAATTTTTATTAAGGTTAAATATCCAATTCGGTCTCTCAACTTTTGTTTTTAAATCAAATCTATCCCTAAACTTTAACAAGTACTAAAAAGATCCTCAAACTTTAAATTTTGAGACCAATTTGGTCCTTCCGTTCAACGGAACTGACACCTAGCACGTTAAGTTGCCCAAAAATTTCACACTTTCTTCTTAAAAATAATGATGTGACATTTTTTTTTCCATGTGTCATTCTAACCAAATTTTAACCCTTACCATTAGTACTCACCATTTTACTACTCCTATATAAATCTTATAAATGCTAATCGGTGCCTGTGGCCCAATTGGTTGGCCCCCAAACTTTAGGGTTTGAGTGAGGCGGAGGTCAGGGCTTCGAGCTCTGCCACCGTTGTAAACTCCATCAACTTGCGACTTAATGGTCACGCGCCTCAAATGAGGGGGTGGAATGTTAACTTTTCTAAAAAAATTCCAGCTGCTAACAAACTAACTCTACTAACTTACTAACCATCTACCTGCTCAAAAAAAATATATATATATATATAAATCTTATAAATATAAAAACCCTAAATCTAATAAGCTGTCACCCCCTTTCCCCTCGTTCACAACCGACTCCTCCTCCGATGTCAACGGCGACGATGGCAATGCCAACATGGTGGTCTTCCTCCTTCCTCTTCCTTTCTTTCTCTTTCTCCCTTCTCCCATGGTTTTTTTTTTTGGGAACTGCTTTCTCCTCCTCTTCCTTATTCTTTCCTTCTTTTGATCCTCTGTATGCCAGAAAAAGCAGCAATCCCGGTTGGTTTCATCAACAGTGTGGAGAAGAAAGATTCATCTGTGTTAGTTAGATCTATAGGTCTAGGTTTCAAATGATAGATTTCTGGTATGGGTTTTTTGTTGGAAGGTGTTTCTCTCTCTCTATTCCACATTCCTCCCTTCTTCGTCCCATCTCATCTAGCTAGTCTTGCACCCCTGCCATTGCTCTCCCTCCCTGCGTCGACAGTTCACGATGAGCAGATCTGGCTAGCCTCCAGGTCTCAAGAAGTAAGTTCTTCTTCACCCCTAAGGTTTTTCTTCTTTTTTCTTTACTTAAATCTTTTATGCTTCAGATTTCTAACTCTATTTTGTTTCCTCATTTTTTATTCTAACAGATACATGGATAAAAAGCTTTAGAGAAAGTTTTTCCTCATTTTTTATGTATATGAATTTGATTAAGTTTTTAGCTTACATGATCATGTACTGTAAATGCATTTTATAGTGTAAAGAATAAAAATTTTTTTGGAAGATCTTGGAAATTGGCTTTTAATTTTGTGTTAATGGAAAGAATTTGTGAGTTAAATTCATGGGTTTGTTCTGGGTTTTTTCGAATTTATGATTTTATGTGATCTTTTGTTTTGTTGAATCTATGATATTTATCTTGATTGTGTAGATAGTCCTTGGTTATCTTGAGCAAATAACTTGGATTGATGGATGAGCAAGGTTAAGGTAGGGGTAAAGAAAGGAAAGGGAAAGAAAGCGGAAGACGAAGAAGATGATCTCTTTTTTTTTTCTTCACTAATTGCCACCTCATTAAAGAAAGTTTGATTTCTCCTCCATGTCACTAGATTTAAAAAAAAAAAAAAAAAAAAAAAGGATTTTCTGGCAACTTAGCGTACGTGCTAGGTGTCAATTCCATCGAGGGAAGGACTAAATTGGTCCCAAATTTTGAAATTTGAGGATATTCTTGTTATTTTTTAAAGTTTAAGGATGTATTTGGCCCAAAAAAAAGTTGAGGGATCAAATTAAGTATTTAACCTTCTTTCAATTGTTACTTCTTTTTTTTTTCCGATTGATCAAATAAATTTTAAGTTTAATTATTTTTAATATTTGATTAATTAATCAATAATCCTTACGGGATCAAAACTCTATTTTTCATTATATTATTTGAAGCAGCTAATATACTTATTAAAGTGAATTTAACACATTAACTATCTTTAGATAAATCCTTAGATCAATCTCAACCTTAGATAAAGTGAATTTAGTTTTATGTGATTCTAGTTGTTTTTATATGACTTTGTTAGTATTGCCCTCTGAATTATTAGTATATTATTAGATACAAATGCCTTGTTCCTGTTATCAAGTTGGTTTTGTCACTGTTGTCTTTTCATTCTACAATAATGGAGCAAGAATGAAATTAGTTTTTTTTTTTTTTTTATTAACACCTTAGTATTCAAAAATCACTTTGAGTCTTGATTAATTTAGAGTCAAACCGCATCAAACTCCATATAAGGGGGAAGTTTTCCTAACGCTTGTTTTCTTTATTTACAAGACTTGAACTCGATACTTTATTTAAGGAAAATCGAATTCTTTTCACTCAAATTAACAAAGTATTGGTAAATGAAATTAGTTTTACTTTAGCTAAACTGATAGCAAAAATGCAATGTCAAGAAGGATTTATTCTTTCAGCCAAATCCTCCTCTTCACAAATAATTGATAGCATAATCTTAGTTTTTAAAAATAGTGATGGGAATTTTCGATAAATAAAGAAGCAACATCTTAGGCTTGAGGGAGCACCAATAGCTACAATGTTTGATAACCACTTCTTGTTAATTTTTCTTCTTCTTGTTCTGGTTCATTTCCAACATTTATCTCATCATGTCCATCGAGTCAAAATATTCCCATAGTCTCTACTAAGG